TTTTATGCTTGTAAAAAGACCGGTAAGCTATGCATTAACCGGTACACAATCCATGTTTTGTTAAGTCTTCAATACACTCCTCTATACACAAAATCAAAGCTGTTAAGGGCTCTCTTAAAAGAGTCTTAGATCAAAGTTAAAATCCCAACACTCACAAATGTCAATGTTTACGTAATAACGTCATTCTCAGAAAATATAGCCTTTGTTTGAGCCTCATTTTCTATAAACTCAATTTTTTCTCGAAATTCATTTTTGACCTCACGTTCTACGTGTAAAATAATTTTACACGTAAATCTAAACTGTTTCTATACTTTTTAAACACACATTCTTTAAAAATATTATTAAGAAACTCATTTCTTAAAAAAAAAATGGGCTCAAACTAGAGCATAGTTGGTTTAAAGGTTGAACATACTGGTCTGGTATGATTTGTAACTAAGTTTCTCCAACTGAGTTTTTAAAAGACGATAACAGTCAAAATCTAGCCTTGTCTCTAAAATAATACTGATTCAGCAAAACTGTGTGAAAATATTTTGAGAATCTTCTTCATCGTCTGCTTGCATTTATTTCGCCTTAATGGATGTCTCTATCAGAGAAGTAAAGCAGTCCTGCAGTAAAGTACTCCTTTTCTTTCCTTCCATTAGCAGACGCAAAGTTACTTTCGCTAAAGTCATACCTGAAAATCAATATGAAACCATATGATTACATGAATATATTGAAGCAAGACCTTAACCATTTTACAGACCATTGCATGAATTTATAGAAATGGAATGAATAATATGCCAGTTGATAGATACATAGAGATGAATTATCGGATTGTTTCATTGCAATCTTGTATTATCATTCATTGATTCTTTATTAGAATATCATATCCTTTCTCCAAAATTTGATCCAAACTCAAATAAAACAGTGGACATATATTAATGATCTCCGTTTTTCATATGAATGAGAATTTTACCTTTAATCTTGACTTGCACATTCAAATCATATCCAAATATAACATGGTCATTTAGTTCTTCAAGTTTCATGAATATAGATTTGTCTATACACATAAGATCACTTGCTTCAGTGTCTAAATACCGAAAAATTGTTACCTCTACCTTGTACGTCAAGAGTGAAGTTCCTTCTCATTTTGTCTTTATTTTGAACGTAGTTGGTCTGCTCCTCCACATTGTTACTTGTGCACTCTCGTGCAAAATGATCAAGTTTGTGATAATTATAACATTCAAGTTGAGATTTAAAATATCACCCACAATTGTTTTATTTTCTTCTTCTTCCTCCTCTTCAGAATTATGTCTTATGTGCCTCTTGAATTACATAAGTGTTGATAATTTCCTTCATTATTGAATAAATATTGAGAATTTCTACCTCTCTATTCCTATTGTTCTTGTCTTCTGTGTCCATATCTCTTCAGATAAGAGGTACGAATGGGTTACAATTTGAACGACCATCTTTGTAAGATAGCTGCACCCATATCCATGCACATATTTCGACCCTTGCATGGAGCCACCTCCACCTCCACTTCCATCGATCGGTAGAGCTACTATGTTGATTATGATTTATGCCCCTTCTTGCGCCAAAGCTTGAATGGATTAACGAATTATAGTCATTTTGTCCTCACCGTTACCATGATCTGCCTCGGCCCCATGTCGTCCTCTACCAAGACATCTTCGAACCATATTCAAGAGCATACACAAACGCTTTGAGACCAACTAGCACATATAGAAAAAGAGGATGAACAATAACAATATTGAAATTATGAGGTTCGACCCAAACTACACCTAAAAGGGGTGAATAGGTGATTATGCGGAATTAAAAATTAAAAATTAAATAGCAACAAGTCACTTTTAATTATTTTTAGATGATTAATCAAACAATCCAATTTTTCTATGTTGAATTACCGCAATTAATGAAAATAGTAACAACACACCGAATGATCACGGAGAAACTCCAACGGGGTAAAAATTTCGGGCACTTTGCTAGTCAACAATCTACTATAAACGAATTAGAAATTAATTCCACCAGACTCGACTACCACTAGTACTTTGTGACCTCCTGACTGCAATTTTCACAGTCCTTCTAGATTGTGTGCTCCTGCACCAACTCCAGACTTTATGAATTCGTCTATCTCCTGTGGATCAACGAAGAACTCCACATTCTCCAACAACTGGAACTCTAGTCACCTTTCCTTAATCTTGAGCAATGTGTGGGAAGTAAGCAGTTTGGAATTTGGATTATAGGTTTGATGTTTTCAAAAAAGTCATGGGCAGACTCGGTGCAGATATTTCAGGTCTGAGAGTAGTTCTGTAAGTTTGTTGGCATGATGACAAATAGTTCCCCGCCTCTGCTAAAGGTACAGATCGTTGAACATTCATGACAGGACTAACTGAAGGTTGATTGGGCAAAGCTTGGCCCATTGTTTTGGGAATTTGCTGGACGTCTGACGTACGGTTCACCACCTCTGCTGAAGTCACAACTGTGGAGATGTCATGAAAGATCTTACTGAAGGTTCATCTTGTCTTGACATAATTCTTGCAGAAGCCAAAGCTTGGTTTGACATCTGAACCATTGAACAGTTGAGTGCTGTTATTGGCAGATTTTCCAGTATGTCTTTTGGACCAGTTGCATTCTGTGGTCTAATCTGCTGCAAAATATTCTGATGGCTTTCATCAGTCGGTGGGTTTGTAGTCACTGCAAAATAGATGATTATGTCAATAACCATATTAAGAAAGAGAAAAAGTTGTGAATTAAAATTATATCACATATCAGACAATAAAAGTGTCTTTTCGTTTACGAGAGGTTGAGTTGAATGTGCATATATGCATGGGTATTTCTCTTTACAGGCTTCAAAACAAACATTAGAGCAAGTTGCTGACACAATCACTCTTATATTAGTTAACTAAATTTTAACTGGCATATCAAGTACAAACTACTGCAATATTCTTCCAAACATACCATTGCCCATTTCTAGTGAGAGGGTTCCAGTTGCTGCATTTCCGTCCTGTATCATCATCTCGGCTAATACTTTATTTATGTGGACTTCGTTGTACCTTCTCTCAATAGTTTCTGTATTCTCATGAAATTTCTTCTCCGCACTCTGAAGCAACTGATCATATTTTTTATGAAGCTGATCAATCTCCTCTTTGAATGAGAATTTTAGCTGCAGTTTCTACAAGTACATCATGTGAGACATAACATTTCTTCTTATATAACTAACAATAACAAGTACAAAAATGGAACACAAAAAATAAATATTTACGGACCATAGCTTCATGCAATTTCATATTTTCTTCTTTATCTTTTTGCAGCCTTTCCAACTCCAACAGGAGAGAAGAGCAGACAAATTGATATGCCTCTGAATCTGTTCGTTGAGACTCTATGTTTGATGATAATTGCAGAGGCACATCTCTCATGGAATGCTGCATAGAAGAATCCAATGGCTAAATTGAGACCTCATCCATTGGAGATGTTGGAGCCTGGGCTTCGTGATTTGGGCCACTTTCTGTCACACCTAATTGCAGGTTTTGTGAAGATTGTAGAGGCTCGTCTCTCACGGAATGTTGCACAAAAGAATCCAATTACTGAATTGAGATATCATCCGATGGAGATGTCGAAGTCTGGACCTGGTGACTTTGGTAACTTGTTGTCATACCTAACAGCATGTTTGATGATAGTTGTAGAGGCACATTTCTCATAGAATGCGGAATTGAAGAATCCAATGGCTGAATTGAGACCCCATCAGATGGAGATATTGGAGGCTTGGCCTTGTGATTTTAACCATGTGCTGTCATACCTGATGGTATGCTTGATGATGATTGTACAGGCTCATCTCTCACAGAATTTTGCACAGAAGAATCCAATAGCTGAGTTGAGACCTCATCCGATGTAAATATTGGAGCCTGGGCCTTGTGAATTGGGCTATTTACTGTCGTAACTAAAGGGATGTTTGGTGATGAATGTAGAGGTTCGTCTCTCACTCAATGTTGCACGAAAGAATCAAATGGCTGACTTGAGACCTCATCCGGTAGATATGTTGGAGCCTGGACCTAGGGATTTTGGCCACTTGCTGTCATACCTAATGGCATGTTTGATGATAGTTATAGAGGCACATCTCTCTTGGAATACTGTGCAGAAGAATCCAATGGTTGAACTGGGGCCTCATCCGATAGAGATGTTGGAGCCTGGCTTGGTGATACCAAGCATAGAATTAGTGCAAGATGGAAAATTCATATATAGCATCCAAAATTGGTTAACAGGAAATTACAAACAAAGAAAATTAAAAAGTTAACTAGAAAATCTCACTTGCCTGATCTGACGCCACAGAAAGAAGAGGTTCAGATAAGGATGAGCTATCATGGATTTGTGTATTTCCTGTAGCCAGAGTAGTAGCTTTACAGTTCCCGAAAACCAAAGAGGTCCGTTTTTCTTGTCTGTCGAGCTCTACAGGTTGATATCTAACTTTATGATGCATGCTCCTATGCTTCTTATGTGTATAACCTGCCACTACAAAATCATCATGGCATTTGCTTTTCCTTTCGACCCTTGAAAGTGGAGTGGCACATAAACTTTTATGGGACTTGGTGCTCTTACTGTAGATTTTTCTTTTCTCTTCCTCATCGTTTGCAACTGGTATAGCTTTTTCCTCTTTATGAGCCTCTTCAACTTCTATCACTTTACCTTTTCTGTCTGGCCTCTTCACATGTATCTATGGCAATTATAGTCCACTTATAGCTATAATAGCTTGCACTTGCTCCTTTGGATTTATCATTGTATTGCCTGGCAATGTCCCTTGTGGGCATTCTACAAGCTATTGAGCTATCGGACCAATTTATGTCTCCAACTTCTTGATCGATGCCTGCTGATTCTGAAAATTTATGTCAATTTGCTAGAACACCTTGTTTGTTTTCTGTATATACTGATTGAACATCTCCCCCAAGCTTGGTTGCTTTTCCTGGTGGGCATTATTTGAATCATTCTCTTGTTGATTATCTGACCATCTGAAGTTCGGGTGCTATCTCTATCCTGGCTTATATGTTTGTGAATATGGGTTAAAATTGCAGGAGCCATTCTGAATGAAGTTGGCTTGTTCCTCGAGAAAGTCCATAGACATAGAGTTTTTTTTTCCAATGGTTAGCTCTACAGTTTGCGCATGATGGACAACCCATCACTGCACGTTCTCCTCTCGTTTGTGATTTCACAAATAGCTCTACCTGCTTTATCAAAGCTGCTATCTGCGCATTGGTAGATGATGTGCTATTCAATTCATACATTCCAAATGCTCTCGGTGATACCACTCTTTCTGATGAAAATATTGAATGTGTAGTGGCAATTAACCCAAATAAATCTAAGGTTTGTTGTACTGAATTTCCTATAATCGATCTACCCGCAGAGGAAGCTACCTGAGATTTTGACTGTGGTGAAGTCCCGTGTAGGAGTACTGCACTTGATTATCTATTGTGATTTCATGATCTGGACACTTTCGTATTAGCTCTTTGAATCTATTCTATACCTCATGATAGCTCTCTTCATCTTTCTGTTGGAAAGTTTGAATTTCCAATCTGATTTTAACTACTTTCGCAGGTGTGAAGAATTTATTGCAAAATTTTTTGGTAAGTTCTTCCCATGTAGTAATGCTTCCATGAGGTTCGGCGTCTAACCACTCCAATGCAGAATCTCTCAATGTATATGGAAATAGTTTCAACTTAATAACATCTTCATTAACCCCCGGAGCGTGGAAGTTCTAACCATTTTTGAAAAATCTGGAGATATGTGCGTTCGAATTTTCATGAGGTAACCCATAGAATTAAAGAGTGTTGCTCATCAAATTAATCCACTCTGTCCTTATCTAAAAACTATTTACTCCGAAATCTGGATACACAATACTGGAACGCACAAGCACGGCTATGGGCGACAAAAACATTGAGACTGACAAGTCTCCTTCATTTATTTATCTTCACTCCTGCTGTTGATCCGATGGCGCCGCTACTCTTGCGGCCACTTGTCCAATTGGCTGAATAGGAATAGGAATATTTTGATCGTCAACCATATGATGTTGCTGTTTTTGTTTGTGTTCCTTGTGTTTTCGTCTAAAAGTACATTCTATCTCTAAGTCAAACGGTTCAAGATCGTCGCCTTGGGTACAGAACATACAACGTACACTTTTTTTCGTAATAAAAAAAAATAAAATCAAATCAAATAATAGTTAAAAATAAAATAAACTAAGACTAAAAGTAAATAGTCCCCAACAATTGAGCCAAAAACTTGTTGCATTTTTTATATCGCAAGTGTACGATATAATAACAAGCAATATAATGGACTTTTGAGTCTGGATATCATTCCCACAAGGACTATACATTAGGAGCTTGTTTGGTAGGGATTTTTTGGGGGAAGAATTGATTTTGAATAGTGATATGATGGGAAATGTGTGGTTGAAAAAGAAAATAAGATTATTTATGTGATGAAAAATATTATTTTTTTGAAGAATGTATGGTTGAAAATGAGAATTGATTTACTGTAGAATTGGAGAATCTGTACCAAACAGGCCCTAGGACTTAATCTATTTTTTTTAACTCCTATTTGATAAAAACAAGTAAATAATTATAATGGTTGTGATTATTTTTCCTAATTACTTTTAACTAATTGAAAATATAAAAAGATTGCAGATAACGGATAATTAAATATTCAAATATGTGATGAATATTAGGGTATAACAATTTCATCTATTGATCACCTTAATTCTTAATTCAAGATTCATAATATAATGTAGTGTTCGATCAAATTCTTGAATTGTATTCAATTTACCCCTTTCGAATTCTCATTGAACCTATTTAATTAATTCAATTATATATTTCTGTGTGAATCAACATTAGTTAAACGAAATACTAGTTCTAATAATTCATATTATGACCGCAATAATTAGTATAGGTATCTCTACACATTATACTAATTTACCGAATTTTGCTATATGGTCTAAATCTCAAACTCACTCTCGATTTGTAGGAGACTCACATAATCATCAAATTATTGATCAGGTAATTTAATAAATTAAACAAATAATAAAACCAACACATAAATAAATAAATCACATCGATCTTGAATAGAAAAATAAAGAATCACAAGTTGACTACATTATTTTTCCTAATATAAAAATTAGCTATTCATATTATAACAATAAAAACATGTAAAGTGGAACGAGATTACCAAAAATTGAAGACACGTGAAATTTCTTGTGTCTGTAGTCTCCTTTCGTTTTTCTCTTCTTTTTCTCTCATCTTTTCTCTCTGGGTATGTGTGTGTGTATATATATATATATATATATATCCATCTCCAGCCACCACTTTTGGCTTTCTGGCTTTTTTCTCACCTTTATTCTGTATTTCTTTCTCACCTATATATATGCTTACTTTGGCCCTCCTATTAAAATTGTTAATGCAAGTCATGCTTACTTTGGGCCTCCTATTAAAATTGTTAATGCAAGTCCATTGATGCTCATTTAACTCGAATCCATTTAATGTAATATTTCTCTCCAAGGTTTCATCTTTAAATTTTGTTATTTTTCGCCACTTTTGCATTTTTTTTCTCCAATTCTTCATTAAACAAAGTTTTACTTACAAAATACAATATAACATAAATTAGCTAGAATTTTATCCAAAATAAAATAAAATAAAATATCATGAATTAGGGTCTCGAATAAGTGTAAAAACTACACTTATCACGCCCTTCAACAACTTTAATTGGCTGCACATAATGAATTGCACAAGAGACTATACTATAGAATAATCTACATAAATAAATGATCGCAACATCACAGGCTCGAATGGGCCACCATAAAGAAACAATTCTAGTATCTTAAAAATATTACTTTTTTCCAATAGTGATGGCCATCAAATATATTTTCTTTTTTGAATGATCAAAAACTTTTTTCTTCACTTGTTTAAGAAACAATGTAAAAAAAAAAAAAAATACTTAATAATCACCGTTTTAAACCATTTGTGCATAAACTTCCATTATTCAAATAAATAAAGCATTTTATCTTAGCATAAAAATTACGAATTGGGACAAAAGAGGTTGGAACTAACTGAATATTGTGGTAGTTTGTAGACAACAACTGAATTTTAATAGGAATAGTATGCTATTGAATAATGAATTTTGAAAAATAATGTGGCAGCCTAGAAAGCTTCATGCAATTGAGGTAACGTCGTAACAAAGTCAATGTTAAAGTCACACAAAGGAGTAGGCGATAACAATTTTGGCATGTGATACGAACCCACGTAGCAATAGTAGCTACGAAATCCACGACAAATTAGAACAATCCCAAGAAAGCCAAGAATCAATGTTTGAAAACTCAACCGAGTAAATTATTGAATCAAAGAACCAAGATAATTGCTAATGATATCTTGACCCCATGACCACAAAACTTATGAAC